TTTTTTTTTTTTTATATTAAAAAAAAAAAAAAAAATTAAAAAAAAAAAAAAGGAAAAAAAAAAAAAAAAAAAAAAAAAAAAAAAAACATTTTTCCAGATCAATTTCTTTCAAAATAAAACTTAGGAAACTTTAATAGAAACCGCAGGTGAAATTTTGGTCAAAACTTGTTTGTTCTTCATTCAGTGAAGTTACTCACAGTGGGTAGAGGACCCAGGATTGTTGCTCAATTAAAAGTAGCAATACTTCATAATAAAATGACTCAAGTAAGCATAAAAAGTACAATGCAGTAAAACTACTCCTGAAAATATATTTTTCAAAAAAGCTACTCAAGTAAATGTAATTGAGCAATTGTAACCAGTTACTACTCAACTCTGCGGGGACATTTGGGTGACATTTTTATTGTACAGTTTCACCTGCAGAAAGCTTTAAACCTGTGTGTGTGACAGGAAGTGTGTATGTACAATTCCAGGTTTGCCCGCTGGCTCACTATAGCTGCTACTGGGAAAACAGATTTTTGTATAAACAGATATATGTATATGCATGTTTGTGTACACAGTTACACTTAACTACTACATGGTCACTTGTGGCTCAGACAAGCTGAGCTTTAGACTGAGTCTGATGGCCAGCTGCAACACATCTGTCAAAGGTGATTGGTGGAGTCTCTACCTGCTTTCTATTGGCTGATACTGCATAAGGGAAAATCTATAGTATTCAGAATTACACACCAATTGAATTGTAATCTTCAATCCAGGAAACACGATCTAAATATATCAGCCACACCCACTCTTAAAACAGATGAATAATGTGGTTCTAATCCACTGGTTTTGATTGTGATTAGATAGCAACCCATTCATGAAGTTTCTACAACTGTGATCTTGGCACACATCACACAAAATACAATTATTCCATTTGTGTTCATTTATATAATTTCAGGCATCTTCATCTTCTTCTTCAGATTGATAGCACTGCTGTAAGTCATGGTTACTGAAATCCATGTGTAGAGCTTGGTTTGATAGCAGAACTCTTTTTCTGTCTCGCCTCCTTGAAAACCTGCAGGTTCTGGTTCCGTGTTGTGGAAGTTTGAGCGTGAGCAGCTACTCAGACTCTCACTTCGATAGCTACATCCTGCAGCCTGTGGAGGAAGGATACAAGACTGTGAATGGAAAGGTTTGTCCTTTTCTATATTAGTCTGTCAAACCTGATCCCTGCAGTCTCTGGGAAAACCAGGACACTCCCTTTCGATTTGAAGATTTTACAAAATCTAAACTTTTAGATATAAAATCTAAATGCTTAATTTTTCAAAAACTATTTCATTTTGGCTTCATGTCTGTTTGGGTAATCTCTATATGGAATCTGTGTAGTTCTTAACACTTGTAAAAACCAAATCACTTCTATGAAACCCAAGTATTTTACAGAGGGTTTAAATAATTTTTACTCTCAGTAATAGTGAAGCCATATGTTTGCATACACTGCATAAAATGATAAATAAGCATCGTTTCCACTCTAGCTGATATCAAATCTTACTAAACTGTTAACTTTTAGGTTAGTTATGATTACCAAAATGATTTATATTTGCTAAATGTCTGAATGATCGGAGAATATTTGTGATTATCTTCAAATTCAAAAATGTACTTCCTCCTTTTTTAATGCTGTTTTTTGTACATTTGTTAAATCTGTTGCCATGTGACACTATGGTACGAAACAGATAATATAAAAAAACGTTACCATCTGAAGAAATGCACCACTCCTGGTCGAAAACAACCCATCACAGCCAGGCCAGAAGGAGGGTCTCAGCGTTGTCAGTCACACTCGTGAACGCGCTGCTCAATGTGCTTAATTGCAGAGAAACAACTTGCTGTTATTGGAAAACTTTTTATCCGATGTCATCGGTGGCGTCAGTGTAGGGTATGCAGAGTGCATACACAAACATGATTTACAGCATTAAGTCCCTCCTCCTGGCTCTCTTTAGTTGTTTCTGACTGCAGCGTATTTCTGCAGTTAAGACTGGGAGTACTGGGTGACGGCAAAGGAGCTCCATTTTCTCACAGATTATCTGTCTCATTCTTTACGGTCATGACACAGTGACATAACAAATATCTAGAAAACTTGTTTTTTTCTTACAAAAGTTACACACCTCAGCTTTAAAAGGTTACTTTATCAAAGGAAAGAAAATCCCCCTTAAACTGTGTGAAATTGTAAACCAGCTTAGATGCTGCTCTCCCTTGTTTAACACTGTGACCACTTTGGAGCAACAGTATTTTGAAAATTTTGTTGTAATGCATAATACTGCGGACCTGATGGCTTCGCTCGCAGGATGTCAAAATTCAGGACAGGCAGGTGGTGCTGGACCTCGGCTCCCCAGCTCCGATTGTGGTGCCCATTCTGTTTGAGGAAACCTTCTACAATGATGAGGAGCAGAGCTACAGCATCCTGTGCATCTCCAGACCGCTGGAGGTGGAGCTAAGCCCAGCTGAGGTCAGTCCACCGCCGGCATACTGTCTGAGGAGCCTGGAGGATGTCAGGGAGTTCCTGGGTCATCACTCCCACAAACTGGACAGGTTCATCCACAGCTTCTGTCAGATCTTCAGAGAGCAGGAGAGGCAGGAGAGGAAGGGCCTCCGATACCACATTGTAAGGGACAGTCTGTTTGCTTTATTCTTGTTCTTTTGGATTTCAAAATCACTGCTCTCTTAGTTTCACCGCTTCTGCTTTACAGCAGAGGACATCCATCACATGAAAGAGGTTCTAAGTGTTCTCTCTGTGTGTTACTGTCCCATCAGGACTCTGTAAACGGACTTTACACTAAATCTCTTCAGTGCCTGCTGAGAGACTCTCGTCTGGTGAGTAGAGACCAGAAGCTGTCTGTGTAATAGGCTGGACATTTACTGAGGTTCTGAAAGCCAGTGGACAGGTGGAGGAGGAGGTCATAGGGTGGTAAGTCCTCCTTTAAACTCTCAGATGACCAAGCATTGCCAGTGGTGGAGAGTTAATCCTGCCACCACTCGCTCCAGGACCCTGGTATAATGCCATCATGATAACACAAATTGACCTTATTGCACATGTTTCAGATGTACTCAAAACATTTGAACTCTCACAATTTATCACATGATAAATTATCGGTCCTGGTCTCCAGGACCGAACCTCCTAACCCTAACCTGGCTCAGACCATCCATGTTCTGTCTGGTTTTATAGTCACAGCATAGGATCCTCATCCTCAGCAGATTGTTGTGTTAAGACAAAAAGTTGCAACAAATCATTTACTTTTCTGTCCTAGAAACTCCTAGCAAAACAGGAGCTTCAGATGACTCTTCTCAAACAAGCTGTTGGGGTAACCTCATCAAATTTGACTTTTCATATCGGTTTGTTTCAAATAAAGATGTGCATGTGTCTGCCACAACAAATGTGTGAATCTTTTAAGCAACCTACCTGATACCAACATAACAGGATAACTAGAGTTACAGTAGAGGTGTATTTCTAAGGGAATGCTAAACTTCCTCTTCTTTTTTCAGATATACATCCATCATGGTATCCATGATTTAATCTTTAACCTTGTGGGGACTCTTGAATCTTGTCAGGTAAATAAATACTACTTAGCAACATTTCATATTATTTCTTCCTGGTTTGTTTATCCCTAAATATAAAACACACACATTTGAAAAAACCAAAACAAATTTTCCTGCTGGCAGCTGTCTCAAATGACTTATTTTCTTCATCTTACTGGAACATTGTTTCCTTTTGGCTTTTTGAATGGAAATATATTTGTTTTTCAGCTATTTTAAAATATTTATTCTGATAATTATATTAATGTATGTGTTTTAGTATTTTTCTATTTTCAGTTAGAAACTGATGTTGCCAACTGAAAAAGATTAATTGAGAATATTGCTAAGCAAAATACAGGGTGAGGAAAGCTAAATTAATTATTGATAAAATACTCTATGTTGTAAATATGTTATTTTTGCTATTTTTCAAGACTCTGAATAATAATTATCATTAAAATTAAATAAACATTGATGGTCTTGTATAATAAAAAATATGATAATTAAGGAAATGTTTATATTTTTAAGTACCAGCCCCACTCTAACTTATAAGTGAGTCTGTGAAAAATCTTTTTAACTTTCATTTCCTAAATAGTTTCCACTTCCTGGTCCCACCGCATCCCAGAAAAAAACTAAATCCAGAACCTCAGCACAGATGTGTCAAATCTAGAGGTTTGGTCTTAACCAAATCATAATCTTAATTAAGATTGTGGGATTAGGACTGAATGTCCACTCTGAAGCACTTTGTTCTGGATCTATATAATCCAGCACTATTACAACTACTATTTACAGCTCTTTCCCAAGGTAATGTCTTGTTGCAAAGATAACCCAATCTTTTGCAAAGACAGATAATAAAGAAATATTTCAGTGACATGTTTATTAGGCTATGCATAGCCCAATAAACTCGCAGCATTTTTTTTATCAAAAGAATTTCATTTTCATACTGCTCACTGAAATTACTGAGTCAGTATTTTTTGCAGCAGTAGGTTTTTCATAATGTTGGCATCGTGATGGTTCTCTGAAGTCTCTTCTGATTCTCTGCTCAACAGGATGCTTCTTTTAACAAAATCACCAGGAGCCTTCAGGACCTGCAGCAGAAGGACCTGGGAGTGAAACCAGAGTTCAGGTCAGCTAGTCACTCAGCTGATTGTTAACACTGTGTTCACATGATGACATAGTTAAGAAACATGTCAGAACTAAGATCCATAAGTTGGCAAGGCAAACAGATTCACAGCTGCAGAACAGTTTTGGTAAACTACAGATGAACTTAAAGTTTTTCTTTAAATTCTGCATCACAAGTCAGAACAAAGTGGTGCGAGACAGTAAGCTATTCTTCTGCTCCTTTTTTAATATGCAAGCTATGTTCTTTGGTTACAAGTGTTCTACACTTATTGCGCTTCCATAAATTTTATTTGATATTGTGAGATTTGTATTTATTTACATATTTGGAATAAATAATGCAAAAAAATATATATATATAATGAACATGCAGACATGAAGTGCTCAGTTCACACAGTGAAGGGTCTGTCTGAGATTCCCCATGTTCTCCGCTGCTGCCCTGTCTTCCTCCAGTATGAACTTGTCTCGGGCAAAGAGAGAACTGAGTCAGCTCAACCAACAGACCTCCCCCCTCCTCAAAGTGTTGTGTCTGCGCAGAGTCGTCCTCACTGCCACCCAGACACCCAGACGCACAGGTAAGCATGACAGTGGGCGTGTGTTTAGATATCTACTGGAGATGCTCATGTGTCCATGTAAGGACTTACTTTAGAGGAAAAATGGTACTAATCCAGTCTCATAAGATATTGGAGCAATCTACCTAGAGATCCGATTCTGCCAGTTTTAGAATGACACCGTAAAAAATGTAATATTAAAAAGGTTACACGTAAGTACATAACCACATCACAGCATTTGCAATCCTGAATCAGACTAAAGTTCACTCGGTATGGGAGGGGATGCAAAGTGTGCAGTCCCAGTGGTAAAATGGACCATTTTGACCAAAATAAAAGTCTAACTAAGATTAATTATTTTATTCATCCATTGAATCTGTTTAAAAATAGATTCTGCTGTGTTTTCTTATGTCTTTTAGAGGAACCACTGAACCAAAACATGAGGGAAAAACACCTAATTTCAAACATGGCGGTTTAAATAAGTAATATTTATGTGCTTTGGTTTACAAAAGGTTATTAGTGTAAGAAAACTGCTTTTATTAAAGATCTAATCAAGAAAAAATGATTCTTGAAAGAAACTGTGTGTGCAGTCTGAGTGAATTAGTCTGGAACCTTTCTCAGCAGCAGCCTGACCTCTCTGTAATCAGATCAGCAGGCAGCACAGTGCCCGCTGTGTCAGCTGCCGATCTGTTTGTTCAGTTTGTTTTGACTCACAGCAGCTTTACTGTTTGTGTTCAGAATGGCATGATCATTTCTAATTTGTGTTCGTCAAAAGGCCAATTTAGGCATTTGCTTTGGACACCAGGGAGAAGAGCTGTTGGTGTCAGGAATGCAGCGATTTAAAAGCAGTCTGAATGGATAAAATCATTGTGTTTTTTTTTGTTTTTTTTTTCTTTAGAGAAGGAAGTTGATTTGTTGAATTGTGTTGCTCTTTCCCTCCAGTGAGTATCGAAGCCGTGAGTGCAGATGATCTCCTCTCTGTTGTCCTTTACCTTTTGGTCAAGACTGAAATCCCCAACTGGTGAGCATGGAGAAGATCCACTGGGAATGTTTTCTCTGTATTTAAAGTAAAACAACTGAAATAACCCTAACAGGCAGAAAACGTCCTCTCAAGGGTGAACTCATTCTGAAAAACAAACATGTTTGTTAACTTTTAGGCCTCTTAGATTTCTCCAAAACATGGAAATTCTCAGGCATACCCAAGAAGATTTTGAGTTTTTTTTCTTAAAGACTGAAATTAATGAAACGGATTCAATTCAGATTTAACAGATTATTAATAACCTGCTTAAATAAATTTTGCATGTTTAGGTTCACAGGAGATTGAAGTTTCCTTGGCAACTGGCCGTCCGGATGCGGTTATCCAGATATATTTCTTCAAGTGTGCTGGAGGTGTTTGTCTTCGTCACTTTTAAGGGGCCGATTATTGTAACATAATGTAAAGCTCAGAGAAGTCAACTTTACATAATGATTTATGTGAAGTTGACTTACATAAATCAACTTTACATAAAAGTTTTGAGCTTTACATTGTAATGATTTATGTAAAGTTAACTTTACATAAATCATTATGTAAAGTTGACTTCTTTGAGCTTTACATTATGCAACATAATGTAAAGCTCAGAGAAGTCAACTTTACATAATGATTTATGTAAAGTTAACTTCTCTGAGCTTTACATTATGTTACAATAATATTCTCTCAAACATACCTGGATTCTTGATTCTTGCGTGTTTAAGCAATCCTTTAATCTCCATGACAACCATTCAGCTGTGCAGAACGCTTAGAGCAGGGGTGTCAAAGGGGTGTCAATCGTTCGGCCCCCGGGCCGAACGATTTAGTCCGGCCCGGGGGCTAAATGCATTATCATTATTCATGAAAAAACATATACTTCGTTTAATTGAAAATCTGCAGTTCCTATACTGTCCACGAGGGGCGCTGTGTTTTATTCAGAGCACACAACATGATGCAACACTGCAGCGGAACTAACAGCAGATGGCAGCACTGAGCTTCAGGTTAAACAAGTTCGATTCTATGCTTTACCAGCTTTTTATTTTGGCCCTGGCAACCTCATATTTCTCGTGCATGCTAACATGCATACATGTTACGTATGCAAGTTTTTCTATTTG